GTTGGGGAGCGAAAGGGAGGCCAAGAGGAAGGATGTGCAAAATTATGACATTCAAGTTACGCTGTGCGGTGAGAACGTGGGGATGAGCAACAGCTGCTCACCATCAGGGGCGTGTCAGTAGCTCCTGTAACTGAGTGCGGAGGCATAAGCCAGAGAGCAAAGCACACTTCTTCTCTGGGGATAGGACCGAAGGCCTGGCCTAAAGGAGAGGCTGGGGCTTTGGGTTCTTTCTTTCTTTCTTTCTCCCTGCAGCCCACTCGTATGAAGTCAGGAATTCTGGCCCAAGCGCCTTGAGAAGAGCTTCCCACACGCCCAGCGTTAGATACGCCACACAGGCTCCCACATTCGCTCAAGGAGCGGGAGTCAATAGTTGATGGAGCGGCAGCGCTTCCTGAGCCTGAAGGCTGGCACTCACCAGACCAGACAAGGAGGAGCCCAGCAAACAACAGGGGTCTCCTTAGCAATTTGGAAAGTCTGCTGTTGAGCGCGCTCCCAGGCCATTCTGACCCATCCTGTAGTGCTCTGAGCCCCTATGGGTGCCTCAGCTCGGTCCTGTTCAGCAAATCCTGTCTCCAGCTGAATCTGAGGCCTACTCATTTCCAGGAAAAGAGAAGTGGCCCCTGACAGGATGGAGAGAAGGGCCGTGGACTCACGGATCCCCAAATAGTAGTGAGTGGGGAGCTGGTGTGTGTGGGGGGGGGATGCTGTAGAGATTGGACCTTCTTAACTTAGCTCACCAAGTGGGGACGGAAGTGAAGAGGAATCCCTGATTTTCTCAGAGCTTGGGGAACGTGAAGCAGGGTGAAGAGGGCATTTCGTGGCAGGAGAACAACAGAAAGCCCGAAGACTCAGAAGTGTGAAAATATTTGATCTGTTTCAAAGGCCAGCTATGTATCAATAGTGTGCTGTGCGCGGTGGGAGTTGTCAAAAGCAGCAAGCAAGCCTTGGAAGGGAAGCAAACTCTGAAAGGGCCTCCAAAAATGTCAAGTCTATGTGTTTATGCAAAGTCGATTTGTTATTATTGGCTGTGGTGGTGCGGTCCAGTTTTATTCTTTTCATGTTGTATTTTGTCCCCACCCCCCCATCAAAAAGGAAAGGGGGCTCAGGGGGAGGGATCTAAACACAGCATAGGAAGTGTGTGCTAAGGCCCTGGGGAGAGGGCTACCTGGGAAAGGTGCTTGCCCCACAAGCATGAGTTTGGATCCCCTGCAACCACATAAAAATTCAGGTAGAATCCCACACATCTATGCATTCAGGGTATGGTGGGGGCCAGAGACCCACTCATCTGGAGGGTTTTCGGGCCAGCCAGTTTAGCCAATCCATGAGTTCGAGGCTCAGCAAGAGACCATATCTTAAAAATAAATGAACAAACGGACAAAGGAATGGATAAGTGAGGTGTAGAGCAATAGAGGGAGGAAGGGATCAAAAGAGGAAGATAACGCCTCTTCTTCACATGCACACATGGGCAAACACGTCTGCTTACACACACATACATACCATGCACACAGGTGTACACGTGAATCTGTAGGCATTGTGGACCCAGGGTGCAGAGGTGTGTGGTAACCCGGCATCAGCCATCGGAGCTGCTTAAGTAGGGGACTCTGGGTGATTCTCTTCCTTCAGGCTTCCCACGCCACCTCCTTCAGATGGGGGCCAAGCTTGTGGGATTAGCGCTCTCAGTGCATGCGATGGGAAGCTGCCAGTAAGGAGCAAAGAGGCACCGTCATTGTGAACGTATTTCTCTGTCCACTCAGGGCCTCCAGAATTCGACAGAGGGCACAAAACAACCTGGCTCTGCCCCAAGCACAAACACAGGCGGGGAAGGATAGGTGACAAAGTGTTTTCACAGCGGGGGGGGGGGGTGCAATGCTCTACACTGCGTGAGTTTTCATTACTAGAAAATTAAATCCTACTGAGCAAATGCCAGGAAAATGATTCGGGGCTCGGTTTAAATCAGGAGGCCTGATTGGTCACCGCTGAGAGGGAGCGAACCATAGCCGGCCTCTCTCTGTGAACATCACGTTTAGGGTGACTGCCCAAAGCCCCCGCCAGGCCCCTCAATGCCAGTTTTGCAGAATTCCAGTCAAGCTCTGGCCTCTCGGTTCCAGCTAAGAGGACTGTGTGGAAAGCGGGGTGAAAGGTTCCCGCTCGCACAATAGTCAATGCCTCAGAGGACAAAGAAGGAACGCAGTCCGGGAGGTGCCAGAGGCAGCAGAAATGCTTCTTTCTTTCCCTTCTCAGGCTCCGAGGCCTGATCCAGGAAAGGCATGCCATGTTGGAGGGGCACGGCTGGGGCATGGGCTGGCCCAGGATTTAGACATGCATGAGTTGAGGCTCATATTCTTTAGACCAGGGGATTGTGACAAGAGCTTAACATCTCTATATCCCCACATTTTCATCTGTTAAGGAGAGATGATAAGGTGTGAGATTATTATGGGAGTGAAATGAGACCAGATATATACACAAACACCACGCACATACATACACACACACACCACATACCACACATACATATACCACATACCACACACACCACACCATACACACACACACACAACATACCACACACACCCCACATACTGTACACATAACACATAACACACACACACAACAACAACATACATACACACCACATACCACACATACACACCCCACCTACCATACACATAACACATACCACACAAAACACACCACACACACACATACCACACCACACACTACACATACCACAT